CTGCTCAAATATTCCAAACAGATGCTCTCTCTGCTCTGTTTAGTAACACTTGCTTAAAGTGAACTCAAGCTGTTTGTCCTGTGGTTCACCTTCAAAACAAGATGTTACAAAGGTTAAAGAAGGGGATCCATTCCCTGTGTTCCGGTATTTTAAAGATGTAATCAAGTGAGCGAAAAACATCCGTCGTTTGAGCACAAAGGTACGCTTCTTTTGTTTCTGTGTAATGTGGTTAACCCCGTCCTTCCCTCTAACCTCACAGAGATTTAGAGAAATAATCAATAATGAGCAAACTGGGGAAAGTTTAAGGTTTAATTGGAACAAAGTAGGAAGTACCGGCAGACATTAGCCATGCTGTGCAGACCTTAAGGTGCTGTGATTGGGTGGGAGTTTCTAGGGCAGTATAGACACCCCTCAGGGATTTATAATGAGACCCCCCTCCTCTGTGTCCATCCACTTCTTGTTACAGATCAGAGTCCAGTTTCATAGCCACTTTGGGCCTAATGGCAACGGCCAGTGATGTTGTTTTCTCCTCTCTTGGAGAGAGCAGTTTAGCTCAGAGAGCTTCCTGCTTCCATCCTATGATTGATGGAGCAAAGAGACACCAAAACGTCCGATTTATTACGTACTTTTAATCCTACAAATATTTATTGACTCCTCTAATAATCCACTTATGTTTTTATAGTATTTCTTTGGTAAGGAGCTCTGAGTTATAAGGTTGGAAAGAATGTCTTTGAAGGGAGAAAGTGTTGGAACAACTCTTTCTGATTATGTCAGCGAGCTGAACCGTCAACCTTAGATCGAGGTTTAGCCTTGGTTTGAACCATATTCATCAGATCTGTTGAGTTTGGGTTTTCCTTCAACTAACTCCATTAGTTCTCTGCCTAACAAATCCTTGAATCTGATTTTTTATATCCTTCATCCATCCATTGCCTGCTTATTTTAGATACCTGCTTCGCTCCCTCAGGTTTATGTGTATGTTTATTTGTCTGTGCTGATGTATGGATCTATAGGTCCTCTGGGTCCCATTGGTGGAGCACCATGTAACTCTGGTTCAGGAAGCCCTGCATTAATGAGTCTGGATTGCTGAGCCAGCTAGGGGAAAGGATCCACTTGTTGGAAGTAATACCAAGGGGTTAGGTTAGGGTTTTGTGCATCAAAGGTATAATATTTGTCTGAAGATGAATGACTTTGTAGAGAAGTAACTGCATGTTCTTCTAGAATGTTTGCTGAACACAGAGAACATCAGGGCTTGTGCTGTTTATGCTGAATAAAGTGTTAAAAATGCTACGATAGGTGTGTATGCATCACACCTGGTCTTCGGATTGATTTAAGAACCTGATGAGATTTTAATTAAAAGATTATTTTTTTTTTTTTTATCATACGATTACCAGGTGTGAATGCCTCTTCCCACCAGGGCAGGAACGGTCATACCAAGGATGCATGATGAGGAAACAGCCAGTTTAACTTTGATGAGCATCCAGGTAGCTATTCAGGGGCTTTACTTGATATATCTTCATCTTCTCATTGAGTATTAACTGTGGCTTTCTGTACGTGGATGCCCCATATTCCAGATGTGGCTGTGGATGCTCTTCAGGAGGAGACCTAAAACGGTCTGTAAAGTAAACAATATTGTGGCTCCTTTAAAGCACCAGCTGGACTCTCAGCTCTGATTAAAGCTGCACATTCTAACAGCATGAAGGTCACTGAGGGAAGCCATAACACACTCATTGCATCAGTCACTGTTGCTCCTGATGTGTTTGTGTCTGAGTCCAGCTTCTGTTACAGAAGCACAGGATGATCTTCAAACGAACCAAAGTTGTTTAATGTTTAAACTTGGAGTGGATAGAAGTTTAGTATCTCAACTTAATTTGGACAAAAGTGATTCCCTTGGTTTATAAATACAGAAAAAGAGCATACAGTTTGCTCCATTATTCTATCTTTTTATTATTGGCATGAAGCCACTTGGAGTAGATAACAAAGGTTGCCTTTTAATAGGGATTCAATGCTCAATGCTCCCTGAATCAAGTGATTTTTGTCCCATTATTTTACAGCGTCTGCCAGCCATAATGCAGCAGAGCTCTTCTGATCTGGTGACAACGGAGCAATCTTGCAATGAGGATTAAAAGGCTAATAGAGAGTACACCTTATCATCAGATTTTTTATGCAAAACCAGCAGAACTGGTTCACTGGAGAGTTTTTTTGACGGTTTGTCATGTTTCATGGACTACAGAATTACAAAAATGGAGAGCATCACTTGGTTTTTGCATCGCATCCATACTTTATGGTTATAACTGGATGACGCTGAGTGTGTTAAGTCTGATTTATGCTCAGAAACCAGGTCGTCTGCGTGTGTGTTGTAGTGAACGCAGATATGCCCCCGCCCCTTCAGCAGAGACTCTGCTGCACCTCTCCAAAACTGTAGGTGACCGCAGACAGGAGGCCTCTGATTGGTCAAATCTACATCCGCTCTACACTATGCATATTTCATGTTTGGTACCTTACCGGCTTGTTTTGTTTGTATGACCACCATTGTGGAAAACGACTCGTGAAGTTGGACCAGCTAGAAGAGCGAGGTGCGCAAGAACACTGGGACCCCAATTCCACCTGGATCCCCGCTCTTTTTCACCCTCATGTCCCTCCGTTTTCACACAAACTTGCCCCCACTTCCTCACCGCCACGGCCGTATCCAGACCCACAGCTAGTTCCTGATTGTCTCTCTTGCTTTGTGGCGTGGAATAACATAGCACAGACCAAGCTTCAATTTTGGGCATAAATAAAAAATACCTGCGTCAAGCTCACTGCGACACACTGCTGCGGGAGGATAACCAGGCCTTTGAAACTGAGTTCTAATCTACCAGCTCTTTAACAGACCAATACACTGTTATTACGCCTCATCGTTCTGGCTGGCCCTGCTAACAAATGCCATCAAACAGACGGTGAAACTTTCACATCGCTGTCAAGGAATTCTCCTTTACTTCATTTGCAAAAGTGTTTTATTTCAGTCTGAGGGTTTTCTGAACATGATTGACTTCATATGTCTTCCTTCCCAACTTCTGGTAGATTGAATTTTGACTAGGCCATTCCAAAATTGTTGTTGTTTTCTGAGGCATCCTGAGGTGCACCTTCTGGTCTGTTGGCTCTCATCCTGCTGCAGACATTAAGTGCTTTAATCTGACAGCTAGAGGATTTTCATATGTAGATCAGAACTCATGGAGAGCAATGGGAAGGTGACCATGCCATGAAGCAACTAGAACCGCCATGTTTGACTGCTTTTTCTTTTTCTGGGATCATTATCAGTCGTTTATGATTCACCAATCTAGATTGAAATTGTTAGATCTCCAACTCAGGGGCCTGTTTAGCTCTAGATTAGGGCTGAATGATTTTGGAAAATAATCTAATTGCGATTTTTTTTTTTAGCTTACTCTTGTGAGTACATGCGATTATTTTTTCCATTTTAATTTGTTATGTCTTATTAAACATATACAAACAAATCTGTTTCATAATAATCAGGTTTATTCAAAGCACAGATTAAAACAAGAAAGGAAACAAACTGTGGCTTTACCTTATTAACATATTTTTATGTTTCATGAAACACGATGGAATCCACTCAAACACTGCCAGCTTTTAACGGGACAGCCTATAAATAAATAAATAAAATAAGACATGAAAATAATACTTTAAGTGGTGATAAAGGTTTGTGGTGTTACCCTGTGAGGTAGTAACTATAGCAAGGCATGTCCTCCACAACACCTTTTTTTAATCCAAAATGATTCCATACAAGTGACCCGACCCGTCAAATCGCGACCTTTGTGGTTAGAAAATCTTGTTTACCCTATTACGATATTAATTAATCTTTCAGCCTCACTCTAGATGTGATTCTAGGTTATTTTCTGATTTCCTGGATGAATGGCTGAAGGTGCTGGTGGAGTGATTTTGATTGGCTCATAGGAAGGTTCTCCATTGTTCCATGTTATGGTTGATGGTTGTCCCACTCCCACAAATCTAAATCCTGTCCCGTCCCACTCCTGGTGAAATTACTCCCACTCCCATCCCGCTCCCATTCAGAATGACTCCCGCTCCTGCACCACTCCCATTCTTGTTGTCTTCAATAAGATTTCTGCCAATACATTGAATCTTAATTTCTATGAAGGGTCAGTTAACTTCCTGTTTCTAACTGTAGGTCCCTCCATTGTTGTTTTTGAGCGCGGGTGAAAAACTCAGAGCACTGTTGGTTTTTGGGTCGTGTCGTTTTTTTGACTCGCATTATAGTGTAGGCTTCAAGGAAAAAAACTACAAAATGGCGGCGCCAGTACTGGATTTTTTTTCTTTCTATTTTATTTTATTTTTTGGCATCGATCCTAGTTTTTTTTAGTTCCTATTGGTTTGCTCCCGCTCCCGTCTGCTCCCATTAATGTTTAATCCAGTAACGTCCCAATCACGTGAGATACTAATACTGTCTCCCATCCCTGGGATTCCAGAAAAAATGTCAGTCTTTAGTAGTTAGGTCTATTTCTGCTGGATTTGATTAGTTAATTTCTGATTAAGTTTTTCCCCAAAAAGTCAAATATTTGAAAATGTTTTGTTTTTTTTAATCAGATTGTTTTGATATTGACTAGAGTTCAATCTCAGATCAGACAAAATAAGTAACTGTAAGCAAATAAAAGTTTTCAAATAGTTTGCATCAATGGTTATCCGGTAAAAGCCTTATTTAATCTTTGTTTTGAAATGTTTTAATTTTTCATTTTCATCCATACCCTCATTTCATCTTTATTTATTTATATTCTGTTCTTTTTAATCTTTGCTTAACAGTCAGATAAAGACATTAAAGACTGGGAGAGACATAGATGGCTGAGCAACAAGAGTTTAGGATTAACCCAACAGAAAGAGATGATAATCAAAGCAACCAAAACCCTAAATATCTTCCAGAGGATGGAGAGACCCAGCAGCGTCCCTGGCAGCCACCGATGCCTCTCTCACTCTCTATTTGTATCTGTTCACAGGGGACATCACTCAGAAGGGTTATGAGAAGAAGAGGTCCAAGCTGATCAGGGCATATGCTGGAGGTAATTTAGCAACCTCTGACTCCCTCAACACACTCGCCCCGCCGCCCCACTCAGATAAAATATTCCCCATGCAGCAGCTGGAGTATCGATCTGGCATCATGAGGAATACAGTAGCCTCCACACTGTACTCTATTGATGGAGTCTTCAGCTGCCATTAGTGGATGTAGGTTAGGGCTCCCTGGAGCTCAGCTTGGGCCTGCTCCTCTGAACCAGCCGCTGATCAAGCTGTAGTAACTCACTGACACTACAAAACACACACCAGCTTCCTCCGTTTCATGTATCAGATTTGAAGATCTTATGGGTTGGTTTATGATTTTCGGTCGTATCAAATCACCTCCATCTTTCTTTTTTCTCCCCCCGCTCCTCTCTGTTGCTTTTTATGTGCATATACGTGTTGGTTCTGTAAAAACCCGTCCGTGTGTCCACAAGCTTTTCTGCCTGCTTCTGTAGGTATGGAGGGGCCCATGTCTCACCGGGCCCCGCTCGGCCCTCCAGCCGCCGCCCGTTTCCACCGACGGAGAACGTCTGGAACGAGAGACGAGCGCTACCGATCAGGTATGGATTTTTTTTCTCCGAACTTCTGGAACGATTCACATTGATGATGAAAGAAATGGAAGGACACATATTATTTTAATCTTAAAGGCATTAGAAGACGATCGTTTATTTCCAGGTGGATCATCAAAATAATTGGTCCTCCTAATTGCCAATCATTCTGGTGTTTACGTAAGGATGTTACGTGCTCGTCCTGCTATATATATCTGTGGGGAGGTACAGTCTCAGACAGTCATTGAAGTTCACCTTTCTCACTGCCGTTCTCAAAACATTGCCGGTCGTAAGAGAAAACAGGGTTTCCGCGGGTCATTAAAAATAATTAAAAGTCTTTATAATATTATTTTTTAAGTTAAGGCCTTAATTGGACTTGAACTTCATTGAATGTGATTATCGTGGCATTTAAAATGTTTTATTAAAAAAAAAAAAAAAAAACTTTATAAAAACAATTCAGATACAATGGGATCTGCTTATAGTGGTCACTGATATAATAATCAACTGCTTATAGTGATCAAAAGGTTTGGGACAGAATCATTTCTATACAAATGCTGTTTAAATAATTTATTTATTTTAATCAAGAAATCCGCTTATAGTGTTCATTTTTTGGCCATTTTATGAATGTAAACATGTGCAAAAATAATTAATAAGTGGATAGAAAGTGATGACAGCACTCAGAACCCGCTTAGGTGCGGGTACCAGTGCTGCTTGCAGCGAGGAGGGGGCCGAGGATGAGGATGAAGAAGAGGAGAGTTTTTTCTCTTCCAGAGCTGAGATGAAGAATGCAGTTTGCATTTTAAAGACTGGTACCCTGCATGTTGGTCTCAAAAACTTTGACCTTTCACATCAAGTCAACTCGGTGTTGGACAACACTCTGATCCAGGGAACAATGAATAAATATGTGAAGTGATTTCTTAATGCGCCGCAGCAGATCCACAACACAAAACAGAGGTAGGCTAGATTTCATTTTCTGTAGCCTATGCAGTTATCTTCTATGTGGTTGTTCTATGAAACCGTTTGTTTCAAACTTCAGACTTATAAAAAAAAAATGCACCAACGGCACCAAGCTACCACAGTTATGTCTGTGCACAGCGCAGTATACTGTAATTGGTAATGTAATAAAATTCAGTAAATGTGGAAGCTATCCGTTTCATTTTATTTTTCTCTTTGAAAAATCACACAAATGGCATTTAGATGATATTCTGCATAAAAAATTAAGTAAAATAACAACAAAAAAATTTGGATATAGTAATCAACCGCTTATAGTGTTCAAAAAGGCTCTGGACCAACATGATCACTATAAGCAGATTCCACTGTATATTTGAAATATTTCCGCAGAACTGCTTCCGGTTGATCGTAAAGCTGGATGTTAAGAAAAGAAGCTGGAGGAGGAGAAAAAGCTTGAGAATGGGAAAATGCTAATTTTGCGTTTTGGCTGGAAAACATATCCTGATAAACCAGACTTAATTCGAGATTAAATGTGTAATTTAGCCTGGCCCTGATGACCGAGACATCGGCAGATTGATGATGAGAACAACTCGTTGTTTTTCAAACCATGTCTGTGCCTATTGGCCAATGAGTGCTACTGACTGTGACATAGTAAGCGTGACAGAAAGCTGGTGGGGGAGTGTAAACAAACAGCCTGTCAGTAAAACGGTGAATACGTCCTTCTTAATGAATGAGTGTAGAGCCTCTTCCATCTCACGTTTCAATGAAAACCCCCAAGTCTAATCCTTCCAGAACTGATTCCAAAGCTCAATCAAACGAGAACTGTTCAATAGTTGTTGCCATGTTCCTTGAGCTTTCTCAGGCGTGGTGCAGCTTTGCCGTCATGCCCTCCAAACCCCACCCGCTTCGCATTCAAAAATTCAAAACTCATCTCTGCATTGTGATTGGCCCTTCAGTTCTAGGACCTGGGGCATTGATAGAGGCTAGACCACTCGCAGGCAAAAATGATTTTGGCCACTAACAGGTGGGGCTAGTTTACTAGGCTATGGAAAACCAGGAATTTGGGACATGGCTGCAGCCTGCCGTTGGTAAAGATGACGAAACATTTTGCAGAGTATATATGAGAGTTGTGGTTACTTGTAGATGACATTAAAATAAGCATTAAATAAGAGTTACTGATCCCTGAATAAACTCTGGAAAAATTGTCTACAAAGTATATGAGAAAAAAAAAGGGACACAGATGAGGCAGATAAATCCCCAAATGCTTTCCGCAGAGTTCTCCTCGCAAAGAATTATGGGATTTGCGTCACAGTGGCCTGCTGTCGCTACCCGACAACAGCGACTACTAACAAAGATGGCGCAGGCACCGCACAGTGGACCAATGGGGAAGAGATCATCTTTCCAAACGGTCAGATTTCTGAATCCACTATATACAGTGATTGAGGGATTTAGGGGTTAGGGCGGATGTTCGGACACAGCTATGAGAACAGCAACTTTTAAGCAGAGCGTGCGCGAGAAGAAATGGGCTCCTGCATGCTCTCCCACGTGCACTTTTTATTTTAAAGTGGAGTTTGCAGGTCCTTTTAAAAATGTAACAGAGTAAAGTTATTCCTGTGTTTGGTTGAATCTGACTTCTTGTCTCCGTCCCTCAGACGTCCACACTGAGGCGGTCCAGGCAGTGTTGGCGCGGCACGTGGAGAGGAAGATGGCGGTGCCCATGCCTTCCAAACGGCGCTCTCTGGTGGTCCAGACCTCTATGGATGCGTACACGCCTCCAGGTGAAGATGCTCACTCTACACAGCCTCTCTCTCTCTGAGCTACTGCACTGGGATCTAAAATTAGCTGTGATAAAAGCAGCTTATATTAGTGAGTTGCATCTCCTGACTTTCCTCCAGAGAAGAAGCCCTTTGCTCAGACAGGATTACACCTCTTCAGCTCTCAGCTTTCTCAGACCACTCTGACAGAGGAATGCTCACCATCTTGGAAAATGCAAACAATGCAGATTCTCTGTGGCGTAAAAACCCGCCGAGGGATTTACAGAACACCAGACCATGGAAAGCTGTAACCGCTGCACCCAGCCAACATCTGCAGCTGAAGTAACATTAAATGTTTTTGTTAAAAATTCCCAAAGACGGACAGTGGAGATGACCTCTACGTCAAACCTGACCTCATTAGATTCTCTGTAACCAGAGTTGATGCAATCGATTTGATCTTGATTGAATTTTAATGAAGGAGAAATAATAATTTGCTCCTTTTATAATTTCCTTCTTAACCTTTGAGAATGTCCTTAAGTAGACCTGACATGTCCCCAAATCCTTCAGTTATTAAACTCTTTTCAACATGTTGCTCACTGGGCCTTATTGTCTGCTCTTGATTGGTGATATCTCTTTTCCAGGAGCGAGCTCTGCTGCCTGAGGCACGTTGGACCTAAATTGGTTCTGTGTCTATTTCAAAGAAGATGTGCAAGAACTGATCTCCTAATTACTGACATTTTGTGTCTCTAAGCTCATGAACTTTTTTACTTCAGTCACTGAAAGGTCACAGCCCTGCAGTTATGTATCTTGGTTTTCTGACTTCTTGTAAACCTTTGATCCACTAAATTTAGATGATTATGAGATGGTTTGTTGTTCAGAAGCTCAAATGTTAAAAGTAAAGAGTAATGTTTTTTGACTTGTCTTAAATGCAGGTACTCTATTTTACCTGAGTACTTTCACTCTCCCAGGTAGCAGGTCCTGGTCTGGGATTATTTAAGGCTAAAGTTATGCACTGAGCAGCAATATGTATTGGATGAATCTTGCTGCGCTCTGACCTATGCTGACCTGTTCTATTCAAGTTGTTTTCTATTTTGTACAAGATTAATAATTTAGGGTATTTTTTGCAATTTATAAAAGAAACAGGGCTTTCACCCGCTGTGCTTTCATCCCTTTTTGTGAAATAATGGCAGGAAACAAGCTTTTCGGCTTGTTTTGCTTTCTCATTACTGCCTCCTGCTGGTCTGGAGATCTGGTGCTTTTTTAAACTACTTCCTGATTATAAAAAAAAAATCCCAAGTATTTAAATTCAGCGCATATCGGTAGAAAAAAGGTTAGTATTACATTAAATAACCCAACTTTAACTGACACTTTACACTCCAGACCTTTTGGGATCAAGTCGCATAAAAAGTCTTGTGAGAAAAAATATCTGCGTTTACAGCCATACACTTCTAGTTAATTCGTTTAATGGAGAAAAATTGAGTAAGATTGTTTCAACATGTTTTAATTTTCTCCAGACGACAGAGACTAGTGGGCCTACACCAACCATTAATATATAAAAGTTACATTTGTTTTTTAGTTACCATACCTATTAAAATGACATCACCCGAGACAGATTTGTTTTAATATTCATAAAAAAAGTCAACTGTTTAAACCAGATGTATACATGGAAAATCAAAAGGTCAAAGGAATGTGGATTCATTTTTTTCTCTTGAATATAGAAATATATATATAGCACATTTCTACCTAGGGTGACCAGGTTTATACCAGTAACATTCTGCTTTTTCTGAATCACTCTCAGGTATATTTAGTTTTTCCTCTTAAACACCAGAGAAATGTTGTCCAGAGATGGAGAAATTTTCTCTTTCTACGGTGCAAACAAATTCCATTTAACATCTAAAACTCTGCCTTCTTTGAAAGATTCTGCCTATTTTAAAACCAGAGAACCAAGCTTCTTTGATCCAAGCACAAAAACAAAGAAAAAAGGTTCCTCCAGATGAAGCAGAAGAACAAGAGAAACCCAGAGTGAGTGAATATTGGAACAGCGCCTACCTGCAGATCAGTACCAGCTCCTCATCTTTTCATCTGTTACAGAAGCATCACTTCCTAAACCCGCCAGGAGTGAGGAGACATCAATCTGGAGATCTAACAGTTTAAAATACGTTATTTTAAACCCAGCTAGAGAACAAACCGATCCACTCTTTTTAATTTCTCTTCTTATTTTTGACTCTAGATGAAAAATGTGTATTCCTTATGCTGTTGAAGGTTCTCAGTCATCCAGTCCATTGTTATTTCATAAAAAGAAAATTTAAAACAGTCCACTGGACTTTTTTTCCCCAAGTTTGAAGATGTTTTGCTTCCCATCCCGGAAGCTTTTTCAATTCAAAATGTCTGGAATTGTCATGAATGCGACATATGGACCCAGTATCCAAGTTGAGACAGTCAATAGGAAAGTTCAACACGTTTATTAAAACAAAAAAGAAGAGAACAGAAACGAAGAGTGCTGCTGAGGATCTGTTGACCTGTAGGCACTGCAGGAGGAGGGCGGGGCACCGCCCAATCCCTTACACTCTGGTTTAGGGAGAAACACAGGTAAGAGACCACGATCATCTGAACTGAAGATGATTACTACGGTAGAATGAGTCACTTACCCGGTTTAACAGTTCAGTCCGTCCTCTCAATCTCAGGCAGGATCATCCGATGCACTGCCAATGAGAGGCAGCCCTGCTCCAGGAATCCAGAGCGTGAAGGCAGGTTCAGAATCCTGGGCATCGAGCATCCAGCTCAGACAGAAACGCACCTGAGAGGCAGAATCCAGCAGGAGTCTAACAGAGGTTCAAGCGAGCAGACCAGACAGGGCCAGTGGGTGAGAGGGAACGGAATCAGGAAAACAGAATCACTCTGGAAACTCTGAAACGTTCTCACCACTGGTTAGGGATTAAACTAGCCTGAAGACATGGGCTCAAAATATAAACTCCTCATTTGAACATGAAACTTGGAAATAAAGCTATAACTAACAAAACTGACAGACAGGACACTAACAGGGAGCAAACAGTGCTCTGGCCCCGATAGCTGGGCTACACTGAATATAAGGCAGAACCTACAGGTGGATGAGATCAGAGATGATTAAGAACTGGACAGACTAGACAGGTGAGTGAAATGAACAATCAAGGCCAGCTATCACAGCAGATCATGACAGGAATAGCGCTGAGTTCCTTATATTTCTACTCCAGAATATAAATTCCTCCCTCATTTGTTCCCTGTATTATTTTGTCAAATCTTCCATATGTTATGACCATAAATAGCTTAAACCTTTAGTAAGTTGTTTATTTTTCTGTCACGTTATGAAATCAAATTCCTTTAGTCTGTTTTAGACTTAAGACTTGAAAAAAGCTTCTCACACAATTTTATGTTAATAAATCGATCCTGACAAAAGCCTATTCTCAGTTAAAGCAGTGATCCAGATTTAAATTGGGTTGTTATGGAGTTTGACGTGATTACAACCAGTCAGTATCACCTGAGGTAGATTTTACCCCCAGAGGCTAAAGCTAACAGCTTATCTTGGTTAGGTAGAGAAAAAACATTTAAAGGATAAAAAAAGCTGCTGTAAACGTCAATCTGAATCTCCTGAGCTTCATCATATTTTATAATTTTACCACCACAATATACATTTTTTTTATTTTAGATTATTACTGAGGTGTATACATATGTTAGAGGTAAAGGTAAACGATGCAAGGTTAGCAAACTGTCATCTTATGCCACTAAATAAAATCCACTCCCTTTTCATTTCCCAGAACGCACCTGTGTGTTCTTAATCTCAGCATAAAATCAGCTGTTTTTAAAATGGTTTTAGAGCAAATGAAGCTGTTTTATACTAAATTGATCCCCTCCATAACCTTTGATTGATTAAAGACCAAGGGTTCAGATGATACGATTTAGCAACATGAAGTAGGTTTGAGCTTGAAAGCGTATGTTTGTCCTTCTAATGCCGGATGGGAAAAATATGGCTGCCACTAACTCTCAGTAGGACTGTCTCCCCTGTGCTCAGACTCGTCGTCGGGCTCCGAGGAGGAGGCGGGGCCAGGTGACGACATGACGGGCATGGAGCACTGGATGAGTCGCCCCTCCCAGCTTGGCCCCGCCCACCTCGGCTCCACATCTTCCTCCTCCTCGTCCACTCAGAGTGGAGGCAGTGGGAACGCCGGACGGCTCGCCGACTCTCTGGCGCACACCCACATCTCCCATCTGGCCCACCTGGGGCACCCGCACCTCGGCCAGTCGCACCACCAGCAGAGCCTCCTGTCACAGTCGCATCATGGTGAGAACACAAGATTGAGTTTGTATCTGTAATCTCTAACTCTTGGATTAAGCATATACATTAATCAACTTTTCACTTGAAGTTGTGGAAATGTTTTTCTCTACTTTATTCAGTTAGAATACAGGAAAAATAATGATAATGAGGAATGAAAATAAAACAGTTTTTTTTAGAGTTGAATGTTTGCATTTTTAACAGCAGTCAGTACGGTGGTGGTTGTATCATGCTGCGGCCCTGTTTTACTGCCAGTAGTTTTGTTGCATTGAACGGAGTAGTTTAAGGGAATAAAATTAGTCTACCTCAAATCAAATCAACAGCTTAATGTTTGGTTGTTCCTCAAGAACAAATGTTCTGATCTGTCAGATTAAATGACCTTTTTTAAATGATCGACCCATTCCTCTGCTAGAGTTATCCTGGAGACGCTGTTTCCTCAAGACCATTTAAACACAGCCTCTAGGTGTATCTGATAATGCCTTAAAAAATAGGAATAAAAAATATTGATACTGTGGAAGTGGATACAATACAATAATATGGTTTCTGCGGGCCATTAAAAATCATTAAAGGCAATTAAATTATTATTAAATTAATTAAGGCCTTAAAGGTGCAGTAGGAGATCTTTTCTGATGCAGTTTTTACCATATTAGCATTAGCAAACAGTGAAATAGAAGGTCTGGAAGTGAAACTAAAATAAATGGTCCTCGCTACAGTGAGAAATCAATGAATAACCCCAACCAATCACAAAAGAGGGTCCGTTGTACATGATTGGTTCCTGACACGTCAATCATGGTCGTATGCTTGTCCCTCCCCCCTTTGCACGTACTCGTGCAGGACGCCATGGCTGGAAGCTAGCCACTGTTACGCTACGTTCACACCTAAAGCAGCAAGAGCAGCAAAAACACGCTTGCTGCTTCATTTTCGATGCTTGTACAAGTTTAGTTCTGACACACGGCTGAAGCATCTTCGCTGCTCCGGCTGTGCAGTGGAAAAAGTGGGTCTGATGAACGTTGAGCGGAGATACCCTATATATGTGCTGTGATCAGTGGGTAAAAAGTAGTTTGAATTTATTTTGAAGTGAGAAAGTCCACCTGGAAACATTGTCAGTTCATCAAAATTACCATCCTGCCTTCAAATATTATTTCTGTCGGAGCCGCTCAGACCCCTCAGGGCTCGATGTTAACCATCGCCCGATCTCCCGGGGCAAGTATTTTTTATTGTTGGGAGAGTACAAATTTGATTGCATTTGCCTGCCGGGCAAAAAAAATTTATTTATCACTCAAAATTACTTTAAAATCACCGACATTCAGTGAAAACGACCCAGAAGCGTTGCCGGTGCCATTTTTGTTGTTTTGTACACATTCTCGCGTGATTTGAAAAAGGCGCGTGAATTGAAAAAGCCGGGTGATTTTCCGCCAGATGGCGTGATTTTTGTCCACCTAGCGGCAATTTTGATATAGTTACCAAAACGACAAACGGCTGCCTTTATTTTGTCAGGGAAAACTAATCCTGAGTCAGTTAAAAGTCAGGGAATTCTGAAATTATGTCAGACTGTGGAAACCCTGTATAAAATAACTATTTAAAATGATTCTCTAGAAAAGTCACATTATATTAATAGTATTATCTTGTATAAACATACCGTGACTCTAAAATAAAAGTTATTCATCTGTGACATTGACTTCTGTCTTGTGATTTATCTTAAGTTTTTAACCTGTCCAATTTTTTTTGGGATTTTTAACATTACAATTTATATTTTTCCAAGCACACAACAGTTTAAAGCAAAGTTTAGCTTGAAAAGAATGTGCAGGAAGGATTGAAAAGCATATTAACACGGTAATGTAGGCTTGAGGAGCCAGTAAACTTAAAAAATACTGAATTACAAAAAACATTTAAAAAACAAACATGTTTCATTGATATATATATAAATGAATATTAGCAACTATAATAATCATACATTATACTGGGCAAGTAAAAATTGTTTCTGGGCAAATAAAATTCGGGAAAGTGGTAAAAATCCTTAACGTCAACCCCTGCCTCTGTACACTGGCGGTGCGCTGTCACTAGGAATCCCATTCAACAGCAGCATATGGCCCAAAAATGTAGTTTTTTTATCCATTGTTATCAGTGTTAAGGAACTTTATTGTCTGAGGCAGTATGTGTTTTTTAACCTTTGCTTATAGAAGCCAGAGGAGTTGTTTGTTGTATTTTTATTCCAAATAGAGGTTTTATTCAAATAAATGAATAAGAGCCCAACATAACGGCAGCCATGTCCCTGAGGATCAACATGGTATATATATCTGGTTTTACTAAAAGATGCTGCATTCATTCGATTTTTATTTGTTACTCACAGCATTTCGTCCTGTAGTGTGTGACCCAGTTTTTCTCTTTTCTAAATTAATTTACTTTATCATCATTAAGAACCTGGATGTGTTCAGAATGTTTCTGACTTCATCTGTGCCTTCCTTACTGAGCTTTGACCGTGTTCTGTATCCTTGACCCTGCAGGGATCGGCCACCTGTCTCTGAAGAGGAAAGGAGCTCTGAGTGTGGCGGAGAACGGCGGCTCTCTGCGGCGGTCCTGCGAGTTTGGATCCGACATGCTGTGGCCGCCGCCTCGGGAGTCAGACGGTAGGTCTGGATTAAGCTGTTTGGTTTCAGGTGAAACTAAGGAGTTGGGATTGATCAGAGGAAAACAACCCTCTTTAAGAATTAATTACCAGCTAATCTGACGTGGTTTCCTTGGAACAGAACTATTCGAAGCAAAACAGTTTCGATGTAGTGTTTTGTAATCTTTCATTTGTTAAAATGAATCTTCTCCCCCGCATCTTTTTAAGCATTAAAAAGCAGTCAAATATGGTAACACAGCGTTGTTTTCAGTTCATTAATGAATCGTACACAGTTCTTATCAGGGCCTATTTGAGTGAAATGCTGAATCAGACGCTGCATCACACAGCAGTCACCTCACGACTGCTGAGCATGTCACAATGTGACCCAATTAACCGCAAGACAAAGTGACCATCAAACGTGTCTAATTGAGTGCAGAGACAAGGGGACCTGGCACTGGAGAGGCAGAAACAATGACTCACCACTGGCTGGTTGCTGTCTCTTCGTCTCCATCTGTTTCCATCACTTCCCTCCTCCTCCTCTCTGTCCTCCAGAGAACCATTCTGCGCCTCCGGACGTGACGGGATATTCATCGGACTCGTCCCACTCCCACACAGAACGTCACCACATGTCCAACATGGGAACAATCGCCAGGAGCACGCAGAAGTACGGCAACGCGGAGCGCATGGAGACAGGCGACGGTGAGAGTCGCAGCCTGTTTGAAGTGTGGCATGAATAAAAACCTGAGGGGGGCGGGGTAAATAAAAATAGCAGCTCTTTAATCGGGAAGTGTTCTCAGGTGGGAGCAGAGCCTTACAGAACGGGCCCAATGCAAAGGTTCAGATCAAATGGGGCTCTCTGATGAGACGACTGAGCAGCTGGGTGGTTTTTAAGTCTGACAGAATCACACAGACACATTCAGCTGGGAAACCACAGGATTAGATAAAGGTCCTTCCTTCCTTCCTTCCTTCCTTCCTTCCTTCCTTCCCTTCTTCCTTCCTTGTCGATACATTTCTCTGTAATTTTCTTCTATCTTAACCCCTTGTTGCATTCTTTATCCTTTACTTATTACTCTTAACCTACGTCTACCCTTTCTACCTTTTCATTTATTCCTTCTTCCTTCCTTTCTTCCATGTCCTTCAGTCTTCAGCTAATTAAACTCTGACCCCAGTTCAAATATCTGCTCTGAGTTTCCAATGAACAGTTGTATTTGTTTTCCTATGGTTGACGGACAGAGAGTTCTGTTAATAGAGTCTGGACCAGAGGGGAATCAGCACATGAAAAGGCTGAAGGAACCTCACTCAGCATTCTGCCAACAGTCCAAAGCGTTTTATTGTCTGATTCTCAGTGCGTTTTAAAAGCCTGTCTTGAGACTCCTAATGGCCTTTTTGGCCGAACATGCTGGCCTCTGCTCTACAGGTTTCTCAGTGTTTTTATTGCAGAGATTCTCATTTCTCCAGACGTTTTCAGGCCCGTTCTTTCTGCTGGGATTTTTCCAGGTGTTCCAGTGAGCAGTCGAGTGTCGGCTAAGATCCAGCAGCTTGTTAACACGCTGAAGCAGCCCCGCAGACCGCCCCTGCGCGAGTTCTTCGTTGATGACTTTGATGAGCTTCTAGAGGGTTAGAAACCATCTTCATGTCTGCACCACATCTGTTGGTCCTCACTGAGATTTTATTGTCAGGAACTATTGAAACGTTTTGGCAGTGGCACACATGCTCCGTTTCTCAAAGAGGTTCCTAAGCAGAAATCGTCTGATTTAGGAGTCATTTTATGCTGAGTTGAATCTTGTTTTTCTTCATAGTGCCTGTTGTTCTCTCTGTCCTGCTGGTTATTAGTTCTTGTTGTAAAACCTGACTAACGAAGGCCCTTTCTCCTCCTCTTAGGAGTCGATAACCATCAGTTAGGTTGGTTCTGTCTGAGAACAAACCACAGGGTCTCAGTGGGATTGGGATATAGAATGTTTTTCTGGCCACAGCTACAATATTTCACTTATCTGGCCTGAACGCGACGTTGTTATCACTTTAGCCTAATGGAGGATCTACAGATGTGTGGCGGTGTTCCTAGGTGGGAGGAAACCCACTCCTCTGAAGGAGAAGCATGGATTGGATCAGAGAAAATAACTTTGCACTAGTGCTCTTCAGTCCATCATGCAGGATTTTTGTCTGTCCTTCTGTGTTTTTGTTGGACAGAAGACACTGTAGATAAAAGTCAACGCTCTACGCTGGTGGAAAACTGATACTTTGGGTCCTTCGGTCTTTGCCTTCTTCTTGTGGGAAAGCTTTCACCCTTAAGATGCAGAAAATGTATTTAAAGGGCGATAATTTACTTTAAACAAGGCCGTTTGGATCCCAGGCAGAAATGACAGCATGCTTTGTTTAAAGATGAGCTTCTTTAGACCCACAAGACACTGAATCCTGGCCTTCAGTTAAAGCCATCAGTCTGCTAATTAGCTTCCCCTCAGTCTCACTGTTCTACACCGACATGAACTCAGCTCATTATCTTTAGCAAATGCAGTATTTTACACATTAAACCTCAGCACATTATTACAACTCTCTGTATGGTCACCATGGAAACTGAAACCACTCCATATTTTACATGTGTGTCATTGCCAAAACTTTCTTTAAATTATTTCTAACAGAACCAGACAGTTTTAGTAAGCTTCACGACAGGTTCCAGGGGGTCTGGAAAAGTTTTCAATTTGATTTCAGGATTTTCCAGGTCTATGACATAGCAATAGAAAGGTATGATTTGGAAAAATATTTTTAACCATTCCTCCCTCTATCCTGTTTTCTAAATGTAGCCCAACCTTCCATCTTTTTTTTTTTTTGGTCTTTTTGTATCCTTCATTTTGTCTTTTTAGTAGCTTTTGTTTTCCTACCTTTACTACCATGTTTACTTCCTCGCCCTCTTCTGTCCTTCCATCCTGTCTTTCCCACATCCTTCCCTTTCATTTTTGTTCTTTTCTTCCTTTTCCCGTTCTTTTCTCTACTAATTTCTTCCTCTTTCCTCTGTCTTCCTTACCTAATCCTTGTTTCCTTACTTCCTTCTGTCCTTCCTTCCTTTGTTTCTTTCTTCCCTTCTTATTTACCTTGTTCTTTTCCTCTTTTTCCTTCCCTTCTTTAATCCTTCACTTATAACTTCCTTCCTTCCTTCCTTCCTTCCTTCCTTCCTTCCTTCCTTCCTTCCTTCCTTCCATCCATCTTAGAAACGGTCAACAAAAGATTGAGAGCTTTAAAGTTTGGGATTTAGACATGTCCTTCCTTTTCCTAATTCCTCCCTTATGCCCTTATTTTCCCTGTCATTTGTATGCTTATTTTCTTTCCTCATGTACTTCCTTGCTTCCTTCCTAACTCCCTTTTGTCCATCCTCTTTCCTCAATGTGTCCTCAATCCTTCCTTATCTTTAAACCTTCACACTCTTAGAAAATGTGCCACTAACTCATATGACTAAACTTCATATTAAGCTTTATCTTTATCCTGAATTTGAAAACGAACATAAAGGACTAAGAACTCATGAGGGAAAAAAGATTTAGAAGTACATTTCCCAGATGTTGAAGGACCTTTAAATATGATTACTGTCGTTCATTAAACATGAAGGCAGGACAAAGCCACAGCAGGACGACTGAAGAATGGTTCAGTTTAGTCTCCATCTCTGCTCTGCAGCTCATACAGTTTCTCTTGCTCTGCATTCACCACATCTATGCAAGACTTTCTGGCAATTTAGTTTCTGTAGCTGGAATGTAGCAGTGAAGAGGTACAGATTTAAAAACCAAAGTGGCCCCAGTGACTCAGTCAGACACACCTTTTTCTTCTTCTACTCTTTTTGTTTCTTCTCCATCAACACACTCCTGGATCCACACCGTCAAACCATATGACTGTGTTTGGTCCGGTTTAAAAAGCGCACTTTCTTCTAAAAACCGTGCCAAAGTAAAGTGTTAACTATTTCAGTGGACGGGTCAGGAGCAGCAGAGTAGGACCTCTGAGGACTGATGATGGTTGATGTTCCTCTTTGGCTGAAACCAGACGACAGATTAAAGCAGGAAACTCCTTCTGACCCCTGAAGTTACAGATATAAAGACAGATGGAGGCAACGGGAGGAAATAACGGTTATGGTATGGTTTCATAGTGTTCAATAAGGATTTCCATCTAAAGACATCTCTATAAACATTAGTAAGCTCAGAGCACCTCAGAGACCAAATGTTTACAGAACATTGGAGAGAATGAGGACCTTTGATTTGCGGCACAGCGACGTAACGCTCAGTTTGCTCACATTTCACCATCTGCCCTCCTGTCTGTTCTTTTTTTAGACAGCAGTCCTCTATTGTCTCTTCCACTAATCCTTTTATACAAGAGAAAATAAAATATTTTGGAGATATTTCACAAAGATCACACAGAATATTAACGCTGAGCTTTCCAGAACTATTTATACCTCTTTGACCCCTTCACGTTTTGTCACTTTACAGAAACAGGTCTTATTGCTCAGGATTTAATGCAGCAGGGACGCAGAAAGCACAGAGTTATTCTAACTTAAAGCAATGAAGCAGGTTGTTAAAAATAAGCAAAAACTGTTTCATGTGTTTGTGTTCACCCCCCTTTTTTCCAATACCCTTGAAAGGAGACAAAGTCTGACATTCCTGCAAAGTGCTGTGTGGTAGGAGGTCGATCCGTCTCTCTGAACACATCTCTGCAGCACAGCATGGTGGTGGCAGCATCATGCTGTGCAGAAAACCAACCACCATAAAGAAACAACCAAAGATGCAAGGACTTGGTTTAGATCAAAGCAGATTCATGTCTTTAATGGCCTAGTCAAAGTTCAACCCTAAATCCAACATTTATGCTTGATGCTTATCATTGATGCTCTAAATCCTCCTGATCTTTAGCTGTGTGGCAAAGAAGATTGAGAAGAAGTTTATAGACTCTATTTGCAAATCTGGTGGAGAATAATGTTTATAATAATGTTTTAAAAACAAATGGTCATCTCCATTTAAAAATGATGCACTGCTTGGTGTTTGTCACATAAAATCCATTGACATCCAAGGGGGTTGAATACATGCGCCATGTCCTGTACCAGTGAACACCTCTGCTCTCATCTTTTCATCCATTAAATTTAGAACAGGAATGTTTTGTTCTGCTCATTAAATCCTCCTGTGTTCATGCCTGAGCAGCAGGTTCAGCTTGTGCCAGGTCTGACAGCTGCTTCACCTCGTTAGCTCAGATAAATAGGCCCACGTTGTCTTTTCAGAGCCAAACTGCAGCAAACAAACCATGAACACTAAAAGTTTATGAGCGCTCGCTCACTGCATGGTTCTGTTTCCTCATTTCCAGTCCAGCAGCCGGACCCCAACCAGCCTCGGCCAGAGGGGGCGGAGATGATGCCGGTGAGGGGGGAGCCGCTGGGTGTGGTCACAAACTGGCCTCCTTCCCTGGAGGCGGCGCTCCAACGCTGGGGGACCATCTCCCCTAAAGCCCCCTGCCTCACCAGCCTGGACACGGCAGGGAAGCCCCTCTATGTGCTCACATACGGTAAACACACTTTACACACTGGAAAAAATTGAATCTATACGTCATTTTTTTCTGTTTTTTTTAAATAATTGCATTTTGTTTTGAATTGACGAGGTAAGTGGGACACTTTGCCAGCGGAACGACACAATTTACATTTAAAATAAGAAAAAATGATTGCATTTTCTTATTTCAGGTGCATATGTTATTTAAAATGTGCACCTGAAATAATAAAATAATTAATTACATAATTATCTTATTTGAAGAGTAAAAGTATTCATTCCATTGGAAAATCATCTTATTTACCTGCTCAAATTAAGGGTAAATAAACTTAATTTAAGAAATGTTGACTTGTTTCCAGATCGCTTTTTCAGTGCATTTATTTTCTCAGGTCAATGAATTTAAAGTTTATGGATATTTAAATAATTAAATATATAAATGACCAAAACTGCTGATTTGTAAATAGGTTCTTCTGGTTTCTAATAAAGACTATATCCGGCAGCAAGAAACAGATTCCTGTGCTTTTCATCTGGTTCTTTAATGCCGGCAGCCAAATGCTCCACTGCAAAAAATGTCTAACAAAGTCTTACAATCTGATATCAGACCAAAAATTATTTTTAGAGCAAATCCTCTTAGATTATTAATCTTCTTTTGAGAAGATTCTACACAAAATAAGTGCAATAATCTGGCAGTGAAGAACCACAATTACTTAAAACTTCTCAAAATCATAATATATTCTCAAAACTGTGTAAATGTCTCCCTGCACTTTATTGCACCTATTATTGACTTTTTGGCTAGATATACTGTAAGGTTGAAAGGCTTGGTTAGATGGACTATCTTTGCAGTGTGAGCCATGAATGGGATAACAGAAGGATAAGGATAGGAGAAAATCTGCTCTGCAAAAAGTATTATCTCAGTAAAACCTTTGTCGTAGCGGGTTGGAGTTCATTTCTTTATTCTTTATTGATGAATTCTTTTGGCAGCATTGTTCCCAGGTATTTACTTCCATTTCACATGGAGACCATTTCCTAGTTTTATTGCTGGATTGTAGTTTAGTTTTAACATTAGTTTTATGGATATTATGAAGTGGTGGGCATAGATATATTTTTTAATCTAGACTAATCTTACTGTAATCTTTGAATTAAATTAAACTTGTAAATCAAATTAGAAATCGCTCATTTGAATTTTGCCATTCATGATGTGTGTGCTACCTCCAGAATTTAAAAGAAAAGATTTACTTTTTTTTTTTTTTTGCAAAATCACATGTAATTTCATCGTCTTACTTAAGATTTTGGTAAAGTTATAAATCCTTTTTTTTTGCTCATTGTTACTTTGTTTTTGCTGCAACAAAATAGTGTCCCTCTTCCAATTATAGATGCCCCACTTTAACAATAGCTTCCCCAAAAATCTGACAAACACGTCCCCTCAAATGACTTCTCATCCTTCATGGCTTTCTCCACGGCCTGCTGCTCATGTATTCTCAGAATAGTTTGCCTCCAAGGTAGTTTGTAAGATGGGTGACCTGTGGCCGCCTAGAGAACAAACTGGCAGCTTGTGGCTATCCACTGAGCGAGGAGATCAGTTAGCTTCCTTGATAGAGCTGTGCTTATAGCTACATCCATGTCAGCCCACTAATATTTAGTTTATATTTCATGTATTTACCAAATTGCTCAAGTAATTCTGGCAGGGAAATGGAGCATTCGGTTAAGCTCGGTGTACACTGTGCGATTTTCGGGGCGATTTTTCAGTCGTGCAAGAATTTTTTGATCGGCCCGACTTCCAGCCTGATCGTGCGCCGTGAGTCGTGTAGTGTACAGGGGGTTATGAGCGGCGATCAGGCTCCCACGACCACCTCCCGATCAGGAATCGGGAGGTCAGGAGAAAATCAAACATTTTCTCCTGACCGTCGTGAGCAAAGCGCTCAGGGCGCATGCACAAAGAAGGATTCTTCTTTTTATTCCTCCTCTCAGATGTAAACACAGCAGCGTGGCAGGGATGCAATGAGTGAAATGCAGCTCCGTCTGCAAAATTGACGGACCGCAGCAGCCATGCCTGCTCAGCTACGTCCTTTTTCCAAATACGTCGTCTCCCTTTCTTTCTAAGACCCTCAGCACAAAATTGCACAAATTGCCAAGGCAGCACGGTTCACCATATTGAGCCTAACGTCCCCCTTCTATTTGTTTGGCTTCAGGATAGAGAGCTGCAGAGCAGCTTCATCTCACTGCGGAGCTGAGTCCGACCTAGCTTTTAGTCCTACAGTGTGAGCAGCAGATGAATGCAACGATTGAAAAAATCGCACAGTGTACGCCAGTGTACGCTTTAGATACACTAAAATGTCATTGTTGAATTTGACCGCATTAATATTCAATATCTTTCCTTTTTAATGCATTATTGAGTACCTGTTGGAGGTGTGGACCTATGGGTGTTTTCTGAACAGCCCCAGTGTTACGCTGTATAAGGCATAAGATGCATTAACCCCCAAAATGAGTCCAGATTAAAGATTTTCATTAAAAACAGTCTGGTTTGTTTCTACTGTATTCCATGCAATCCAATCATCCACCACAACCTGACAATGAGTGAGAGAAAAAGGAAACAAAACAACCACAGGCATGGATGGGCTGGGAATCCAGGGCTGTTGGTCATCCTCATTCATTACTCATACAGGTTAATCATCTCGTTACCTTGAGAAATCAATAACTTTACTTGAGATAACAAGATAGCTATGTCATTATCTCGAGAAGGCAAAGGAAAAAAGAAATAAGTCTAGTACGACCGCTCTTGGATTCCATAAGAAACTAAACTCCATAGAGGTCTTGTGATTCAGCAAAACTGCTGCCGGCCGGAAAAGAAGAAAGTCTTGTTTTAACGTTTTTTTTTTATTATCCTGCAATTAATTTGGATATTTTGGGTAGTGATTGAGGTCTTCAGAGGCTGCGCTTTCTACCGCCATGACTGCCCACCATGTTTA